CCGGTTCTGCCCCTCTTAGGGGACTCATCAGATAGGCACAGTTGTTCTCCCATACACCATTGCTACTAATCAGGTGTGATTAAAAGCCAGGGTTCGAATGCGTTGTTTAATGTGGTTTTGACATATTTACCACGTTTTCTAAGAAAGCGAATTGCAAACCGTAATGTCAGCTGGGTTTGCTGTTTCTAGTGACCTACGCACCTACTAATTGCTAGTGACTTGTTTGACAAAATTTATAACGGCAAGTAGGCTCGTCTAAAAGCCATTGTACAATATTTCATCAGTATATCTGGGATCTGGCTCCCAGAATCCAACGTGTCATAAAACCAGCGTTTTAGAACAAGTACTAACGTAGAAAGGAAACTCCTCACAAGGTTGCTGAAAACTCTTAACAACCGACATTTTCCCCCATAGAAAGACACTTTTGTAGTCGTCACATGCTTTCAACTGTTGTAACAATAGTTTTAGCTAAATTCGTGATTGAGAACCGGTGAAACTGGATTAAATGTCCCGTTTGTAGAGCTTTAAATGAAATGTTTGCTGCTCGGTTGCCTGGTTCAATTGCACAAGTGTACGTTCTATGGAATTCGAAGCTTGCCAGCTTAGAAACAAAACAACTGTCCTAAACCATTTTGGTTTGGTGTGAATATCCCAGACACATTTCTCTGGTTCATAATAGTCCCCAACTGAATGTACTTGACACAGTTCATCGTATACTGGTGAAGTTGATACGATATTCGGGAATTAGTTATAAGGTTGCTGAGAACTCTTCGAAGACCCATGACCGGTTCTGCCCCTCTTAGGGGACTCATCAGATAGGCACAGTTGTTCTCCCATACACCATTGCTACTAATCAGGTGTGATTAAAAGCCAGGGTTCGAATGCGTTGTTTAATGTGGTTTTGACATATTTACCACGTTTTCTAAGAAAGCGAATTGCAAACCGTAATGTCAGCTGGGTTTGCTGTTTCTAGTGACCTACGCACCTACTAATTGCTAGTGACTTGTTTGACAAAATTTATAACGGCAAGTAGGCTCGTCTAAAAGCCATTGTACAATATTTCATCAATATATCTGGGATCTGGCTCCCAGAATCCAAAGTGTCATAAAACCAGCGTTTTAGAACAAGTTCTAACGTAGAAAGGAAACTACTCACAAGGTTGCTGAAAATCCATCAACAGCCCACGACCGGTTTCGCCCTTCATGGGACTCATCAGGTAGGCGCAGTCACCGAGTTTCCGTCAGCCTTATATTTTACTTGAACCCGAATTGGACTGCTTTCGAAAAATACACTCATTTGCAAATCAATTTGGTTTTAACGTAATTGACAAACAGCGAAGCCTACTACTTGTGGTAACCACTAAAATGGAAGATGATCACGGTTAACTGTGAAGTTGTATGGAAGCCTCGAGATAGCTCAGTGATTAGGGCGTGGACTTGCTAATTGGAACATCCGCGGTTCGAAACCGACTTGTGAGTCTCGGCTACTCCTGTCTAGACTTGGCAACTTGGCAATGTCTCAGTCCTCGTGCTTTCTTCCGGTGGCATACCGGGAAGGGTGTTACAGCTCAGCAACAGGACTTGGCAATCATCCAGCTAGTTGCGAAGTGTATGGCCAAACAACTACACTATAGGCTCGACACGAATGTGTGTACAGCTCAGAAAAATGGAGTGGAATTCTGTAAAGCCTCCACAGATTGCGTGTATACAGAAAAACGCCCGTGAAGAATGAGCATGCACTGGTTGAGGGACTGGATGGGTGGCTATGTATGGCAGAAGAGTATTGGCCATTGGTGTTTTCGGAAAGAAGGAGACAAGTTTTCGAGAACTACACTCATTTGCAAATCAATTTGGTTTTCAAGAGAAACTCAGGTGAATCTCTCGTTTGTGATATGAGAGATTCAGTTGAGTCTCTCATGAAAACCAAATTGATTTGCAAATGAGTGTATTTCTCGAAACCAGTCCAATTTAGGTTCAAGTAGAACATAAGGTTGACGGAAACTCGGGGACTGCGCCTACCTGATGAGCCGGCCCCAAGTAGGGCGAAACCGGTCGTTTGCTGTCGAAGAGCTTTCAGTAACCTTATGAGTAGTTTCCCTTATGAAGGAGACAGGTTGTTTTGTACGATTGTAGGTGAAGGTAGGGGAACTAGTCAACGGAGGATTATTTCAGGGGGGATTCTTAAACGCGGGCATTAGTGACAGGGTTAAGGCAACACCATCAATAGCTGCCTAATCCCCAAGGTTGTAGAGGTATGCGGACACGAGGTTGCATGATTAGGGTATGAAATATCCTGAATGAGTGATCGTATGTCTGTTTGTTGTGCTAACAGACACGCACACTGGATGGCGAAAATGACTAGTGGGTGATCTGTCTCTTGCACGTTTAGTTGAGTAAGAATTATGGGAACAGGCATTTCCGGTTGGAAAATCACAACTGACTGTGAAGATTGCAGACTTGAAGAATCCATCCTAACTGCTCTTTTCAGAGGGGAGAACGGTTAGAAGGGAAAAGAAAGGGCATAGACCGAGTACAGAGGCAGGAGATGAGATAGTGGAAGCTGTGTCAGTCATGTTGGTCGAATCCCCCCCGTGAACTGACTGAGAAAGGAGGGTTACCACTTTTCCCCCAAGGACTGCGACAATCGGATTTCGATCTCTTAAGGTCAGTACAGGAGGCGTCTGGCCCACTTAGACAGGAAATAATCTGCTTTCTAGAAAATGCCGAACTTTTCTGAGGGTCAGATAGATTGCCAAGGGCTTCTGACGGAGAGCAGTGTGATACGTTTGTAACGATTTGACTTTCGAAACAAACGGGCCAGTGGCTGATGATTACCCAGTCGGTTTGGTAGACAATCGCACAAAAGGCTGTCCGAGTTTCGAACGAAGACAAAATAGAAACTCCATCCGACAAGGTTTTTTTTGACAGTGATAAATACATCGATAGAGGGTACATGGAACTTAAAAGCCAGTGAATCGGCCATTCTGAAGAAAGACCAGTCAATTCGTGATACTCCCCACGATTCTGTATGAACTCTTGAGTTACCGTCAGTGTGATCAGGCCGAAAATAAAATTAGAAGCACAGACCATTCAGCATGAATAAGTCGAAAATTGGTCGAAAATATAAAAGGTGTCCTGTTGCATTCTGACAAGAGTTAAAGTCCAAACCTCGCAGAACTCGACCGTTTTAAACGCTGAAATATCTTGAGGTTATTCTGTAAACCTAAAGCCACATGAACAAGCTCATACAGTTGAAAATTCGCAGTTACTGTGGTTTTACGAACATCATAGGAGGCGTAGGTTAAGTTGTAATCACGCGTTCAATCAGAAATTGGGGAACTGTGACCTGAGTGAGGATGCGACGGTGGTGTCCAGACGCCTTCACTTGCAGCTTCCAAAAGCTGCTGGACGGCCGCAAGATGCGAAAGCAGAGAATATGGTTGAACTAAACCTACGTAGCCTTGGTAGGTGTCGCGGCGTGGAGGAGTGGTTACTAGATGTGTAGCTGAGTAGTAAACAACGCCATGCTTGTATCCTTAGGAAGCCAGTTCTGGGTTGATAAGTTATAGAGGGAGACTTAGCTTCAGTTCCTAAGGCCGGATTGGATCTTTTCTGGCTCACCGGCCAAACCTGAATCACGGATTACTGCCTCACTTTTCTCTGTGTGAGGTTGACAATGGGGATAGGAAGTTCGCGACCACAAGCTCTAAATCCTAAAGCATTGGCTTCTTGAAACGTGAGCGGAGGTGAAATTTCCTGGATGTGGTAGTACAACACAGACTTCGTATTGGTCCGAGACGAACGAGAAGCCTATGGAAGTGTGGGGTAATTTGAAGAAGCCACAGTTGCCTTTTTATCATTCCATGACCACTGCCTTTCGCGAGCAACACTTAGCAGATTCCCTGAGGAATGTATGCACTTGCGCAACTCATCAGCAGGATATACTTTAGTTCGAGATATCGGTGGAATGACTTGACTCGTTTTTAGGATAAGAACACGTACCGATATCTGCTGCTGTAACTGTGCGACGTAACAGATTTTGTGTTGCCGCGGAATCGACTGACGCCAGTTAATCGACGAAGCAGGACATGCCTCGGTCTCTGTCAGGGAATGTATTTGTCGTAAGAGTTGGAAAGGGGTGCAATCACTTACTTCAGCGCTATGAAAGAGAAGCTTCTGTAGATGTCCTGAAGAAAAGAACGTCCTCTTTCCACAGTTGCACATGGCTTTTCTGGGAGTCCACCCTCCACAAGTGCAAAGACTTCAGCGACCAACTATACAGAGAACTAAGTGACAAGGTGCGTGAGTGTGGTTATCTGAGGAGCATTGCGTCTCTGTGTATAGAATCAATTTTGAGCTGATCCAACCAGGTAGTGAAAGAGGCTATTGTGGAGAGTTTATAATGAGTATAGATTTTTCGCTTTCGAGTTGAGCTTTGCCTAAGATGTATTAAAAGCTTGTGCTAGAATAAGCCGCTGGCTACACCAGCTAAGTTGTGCCTCTGATGTATGAATCCGTTTGCAACATGACTCTCCTAAAAGGTATTGAGAGTGTGTTTGAGGTCTCATGGATCGTGTGTGCTCACAGTGTGAGCTCTACAGATCGTGGAAACAGTGGGTTTCGCCACCAGGCTGAAACGGACTCTAGGAAAACGTAGTATTTACGAGAAATACACTCATGTGCACATCAATTTCGTTCTCACGGGAGACTCAACTGAATCTCTCGTTTATGATATTCCGCAAATGAATGTGCTGCACACAGGCCGCCTCATGATTCAATCGGCACGATATTTTAGATATCGAAGTATATTTTCATAAAGGAAACTACTCACAATTGTTGCTGAAAACTCTTCGACAGCCCACGACTGGTTTCGCCCTTCCTGGGGTGCATAAGGTAGGCGCAGTTCCCGAGTTTCCCTCAACCTTATGATCTACTTGAACCTAAATTGCACTGTTTTCGAGAAATACACTCATTTGCAAATCAATTTGGTTTTCACGGGAGATGCAATTGAATCTCTCGTTTATGATGTTCTTCAATTCTAGAATTCTCGAATTTCGAAGCTTACTTTCCAAATCACGGCAAACGCCTGATAGTATGGAACAAGTTTCAGACTTAGTGATGGAAAGTGTTTTGTGGGTCTTTTGTTTTCCAGGAGAGAAAGGAATCGGTGTGCTCGTTGATCCAAAACTCCTTCCACCGCGTGAACGGAAAAAGTACGAAGAAGGTTGGTTTAGACACGCATTCAATCAGTTCATAAGTGACCGCATCAGCGTCCGACGATATCTGACTGACGTACGCGAAGGGCTGTGAGTCCCCTTTGTATGCTTCTGTCGCACTGGTCCGATTAATTTTATCCTGTGTATCTGTTCCAGGATGTATGGTCCCATAAACGTACTCCCATATCGCACGGGTCCTGCGATCTTAACTAATCTATGCACAAAAGTACTAAAAGTATTGGTGTTCACGTAAGTGGAGCAATAATGGAACAGTCGGTAAACTCCGGAGGATTTTCGTCCAGGAAAATCAATAACATTCATTCATTCATTCATTCATTCCTTCATTCATTCATTCATTCATTCATTCATTCATTCAGAGAAAAACTTTAGGGCTGCGCCCGACAATGTTTCGGTGGTAAACTAATAGTAATCATGGGTACAGAAAAATATGCCTCAAGTTCTACCTCCATTATCATCATTACAGCTTGAGGAAACTAAAAAACACTGGATGGGATGGTATTCCGTACCTGCCTTATAGAAATGCAGGCTTTCGTGCACAATAAGAAACGCCAAATTCGGTTTCTGTTGAATCCTGATGGCTGACCAGAAAACAAGTCCGAAGAACATCAGCCTAATAAAAAATGGACGTAAATTTCAGCTACGGCGGGGCTACTAATTTCCAGTGTTTCATATTACCTACAAGCCACTGGTTTACTCCCTTTCACAGATGTCGAACACAGAAATTCCCAGCCAATCAGCCCGCAACAGCCGTGGTCATTTGCTTCCACAACGAATGTTGGTCCACCTTGTTACGTTCGGTACATTCTGTACTGGATACTGTACCTGAAAACTTGCTGAAGGAGATTGTATTGGTCGACGATTTTTCTACCTACGGTAAGTTTGAGGCAGAGCTAGCTTTTTGTCGACTAGCTGTCAGAACGTCTACCTTGGGCAATTACGGTACGTCGAACGAGATCAAGCGTCGGCTGTGTAGTAACCTCATTTACGGTTTGTGAATAGGTTGTAGTCCGTTTTTCAGTGTTTTAAAGAGATCTTCATATGAATGCAGTATGTCCAGGCCAGGGATTTTAGTCTCCGTAAATACTACTACTAATTATAGTAGTAGAACAGCTGTAACACCCTTCCGGTGTCTCGCTGCCGTGCTACCCATAAGATGCATGAGGGAGAGGGCACTGCCAGCTTGCCCAAACATAGACACGGGTAGTCGGGATGATAAGTTTGTGTTTGAACGGCAGTTCGGCACCTCAGCTACCGAGCCATCTCGCACCGACTGACCGCTAACGAACATGTATTTTGAGACGGCCAGCGCGCTTTGTTTCCATGCGCACCACTACTTTAATGTACATCTCCTGCTTTGCAAAACGTTATTAAGTATGCGCATCTTTACTGATTTTCACCCTTTTTTCAGTTTAGGACGCCAAAAATGTTCACTGGTTCACTGGATTTGCTACCCTTATTGGGTTCCTACTCACAGAAATAGCGGAGAGAGATCATGAATGATATTGAGGGCTCTTGTCTGATCATTCCGATCGCTTTCTCCTTGTGGCCTTTGATACTATGAGCGCCACGTAAAGATGAGTTTCGAGGGTTATTAAAATGGAACCTCAGTTTGTTTGAAGTGTAGCCCGTAGTTAGAGCTGTCAGTACCCGCTGACTGAGTAACTGGTTCACCGTGATGATATTCATTTAACGCAAAACAAAAACAACACCTCGTTGAATCTGGAATGCGAGGCCACAAAAAACATTGTGTACTGAATAATATTATATATTATATATATATGTTTCTTTGTCTAGAGTATTTAAAAAGCCCGCTGGATCGATATATGAAGCAACTGAAGAAGGTAAAAGTGATTCACACGGACAAACGGGAAGGCTTGATTCGAGCAAGGATGATTGGAATGAATGCATCGACCGCGGAAATCCTAACTTTTCTGGATTCCCATATTGAGTGTAACAAAGGTGAGTTCTTTAAAAGTTCTTCAAAATTTGCGTTTTTAGCCAATTCATTTGGTACTATGCTATTGTCTGAGGTGCTTAAGCGGGAAACTCAATAGGTGATGAGTCATAACCCATTGTCTTGCATCTTTTGTAAACTTGTTCTTCACGGCGGCGAGTTGCGTAGTCCTCATGTAATGTTCTCCCAGTGTCTTGATTCAATTGTTGGAAGCCTACCGACAAAATCCATTGTCTATTCAGATCAAAGCTTTTACGATCAGTCTCTGGGATGGGGTTAAAACTGGGGAGATCTCTCATTTAGAAAGATGCGTTTCTGATGAGAGAAGGTTCGTCAACATCCTTCGACGTAGTAGACAGGTTCCAGTTCTCTGAATCACACTCTAACGAGTCCGCCTGTCCACTCAAATTACTTGGTAAGTAATGGGGAAGTAAACTATTTTGCAAGAGCGAAAAACGAGCACCATTTCGGCCAGGAAATCGCGACTACCCGAACAAAAGTGTACACTGAGAGCGTCATGTATTCTGAATTTGTCCGTTCCTCGGTTTTGCTTGTCTGACTTACAGGGACAAAACGCAAAAGTGCTCTTGCCGAAGGGCGCACAACTTCAGGATCGTCCTTCATCGTGCCCACTCTTTAAAGGCACACTCTTCAAGCCGTATCAACCAATGCGATGGAAAATGTATTCCGTAGTTGTATCGAATTTCAAGAAATAACTGTCGAGTTGCCACCATGAACAAGGAACAAGAGAATATAAAGTGGTCACTAATCCGTTTCCTGAGTGAATTTGACGATGTTAAATATGTCGAAAGATTCAGGGGACAAGCAAACGAAAAGTACTAGTCGACTTTACCGAAAGCTTTTTCTCGGTTGCTTTTGGTTCCTCTCGAGGAATGCATGATATCTATTTGATCTCTACGCAATTTGCCTTGTTGGTAGACTCGTTCAGTAGAAAATGCTTCAGAATGTTTTCGAAAAAGTTTGGTGACAATAGGTAAATTAAATTTTGGACAACGTTTCGCTTTTGTCACAAAAGCTTCGTCAGGCCAAATGGCTAGGTTCCGAGGTTGGTCGAGATTTAAGGCGAAAGGAGAACCAATCAGCTAAGTCGAGCCAAATCTCTGTTGGGTGTCGGCCGAGGGATTTTTGTGTTGACACGTGACTGTGTGGTTGTCAATCCGTGTAGAATAACTAGCAAAAACTGGGGGGTGAGGTCGGAAATCCCAACCCGACCAAAGGTCACAGCATCCTTCTTACACAACTGTCCACACAGACGGACAGAAGATTCAAACGACGTTCAAGAGGGATCATCAAATGAACCGAACCAGAAGAACTAGACCCTAGACTGGACCCAAACACATGTAGGTTACCCTATCGACCAAACACTTGTTCAACCACCTTAACACACACACAAAACCCTCGGCCGACAACCAACAGAGGTTTAGCTTGACTTAACTGATTGGTTCTCCTTCCGCCTTAAATCTCGGCCAACCTCGGAACTTAGTCACCTGGCCTGACGAAGCTTTTGTGACAAAAGCGAAACGTTGTCCGATTGTTACCAGACTTTTTCGAAGACGATGACTATTCAATCGGTTCCAAGTAGTTTTCACCTGCTTCAGAGTGGTTGTAATTACAGTGCCCCTAATCTTGGAGAAAAAAAAACGTCGCACTTTTAAACAATCCTAACTTGTCATAAAGTAAACTACTCACAA